GCACTCAAATTAGTAGAGCTAATGAGATGATGAGATATTGAGGTGTGGTTCAAGACATCGAGAACGTCCAACTCTTGCTTGGAATGAATTCCATGCATCCTGAGCCACCTACGCACATTGACTAAAGAAGTTCGAGATTTCTTGGCTAATATCATTGTTTGTTCCTAGGCTTTTGATCAAGAACGAGTACGGAGTAGTGAAATTGTGGGGTGATGATATGAACCATTATCAAGCTTCAACAATGCAGCACAATCCGAGAGCTTCAGCCGGCATAGAGATGTGCTTTGATCTTCCACCGATATGGTAGGTCAATACCTTCTCCCGCTCGGTATTCCTTACTCCGTTGGCTGCATATCTGCGATTACTGAACCTTGAGATAAAGACAATGATCCATATGATAGGACAGGATAAGCGATAACCTTCCCCAGACGACTTACATTGAATTGTGCTATCTATATTCACAATGCCCTGGTCTATGAATGGCTTTCTTAGTTGCTGGTCGTTACGATCCTACGATCCTACGATCCACACCACCCACCACCACCTTCACCTCCTAAATACGGATGTACCATTTGTAACACCGCGCAGCAGCTTTCCAATTTTTCCTATTCCGCAACGGAAATAAGAACGTTGTCGCTGCGTTCCCCGTGTTCGCGGTGTACAGATCACATGATCAAGAGTTTTCCATTCACCGCTTCCCTTTTCGCTCAGACGGTGCCGATACCCGTTTTCTAAAGCATTTCAGGCAGGGTCTAATTGTAATTTTTCCTCCCAAAACCCGCATGAATCTTGCCGGCCCCGCCAGATGAAGAACGGTCAATCGCCATCTTCTATTACATATCTTCAATCCCCAATGAGCGTGAAGAGAGTGGGGCCGCTCTCAGAGAGGTAGGCAAATATATCTTATATATATATAAGAGTGAGTCCTTCATGTTTTACCTCGGTTTCCTTCTGATCTCTGCAATTATACTATACTCGTCATTCACTCAAAGTTTCATGTCATATATGAAGATCTTTTCCTTTCGATATCTTTTATTAATATAATCCTCTTGTTTCGGATTGACATTTTCTTTTTCTTCTTACTTTGTTCTTTTTGTCAACGTACATTATCGAAGCTATTACAACAACAGATAAGCGCCGACAATAAGGGAAAGGATAGGAGGCTTCCTCACCTCAAAAATGACGGACTCGATATCGAGGCAAGAGACCCGCAAGTCAGGTGCATCAAAACCTGATTCGTCTCCTGGGCTACATCGATGTTTATCTGGAAATCACCTCGATGACACTTCGTATTATACAGGTCATCCTGGTGCATCTGAAGGGAAAACTGATCAAGATATGGAGCGCGATTCCACAATCGATTTGGAAGATACAGATACTGATGGCAACTCAAGTATATCGCCAGAAGTTATAGATGGGATTGAGGTTGAGAGAGATGTTGAATTGGGGAGAGAAAAGACGCAAAAGAGCACGAAAAGTGTGAGGGATCCAAACTTAGTCACTTGGGAAGGGCCACATGATCCAGAGAACCCTAAGAATTGGAAAATTGGACGTAAATGGGCTGCAGTCTTGGTAGTTTCAAGTTTCACCTTTATATCCCCAGTTTCCTCTTCCATGGTAGCCCCAGCTCTGACTTCCATAAGTTCGGATTTACATATTGAAAGTTCCATAGAGCAAAGTCTGGTGCTATCTATTTTCGTCCTGGCTTATGCGATTGGTGAGTCGATTCTATCGTGACAGTTTTAGACAGACACTGACATGAAAACAGGCCCATTGTTTCTTGGACCGCTGAGTGAAATGTTTGGACGAGTCATAATAGTGCAAGTTAGCAACCTTATGTACTTGTTTTTCAATCTCGGCTGTGGTTTGGCACAAACCAAGGGGCAATTGATTGCTTTCCGATTTCTTGCCGGGCTAGGTGGCTCTGCCCCTTTAGCTCTCGGAGGTGGAGTACTCAGTGATTTGTTCACAGCCGAAGAGCGTGGTAAAGCTATCTCTATATACTCTCTCGCTCCACTACTGGGGCCGGCAGTTGGTCCAATAGCAGGCGGGTTTATAGCCGAGAATACTACCTGGAGATGGGTCTTTTACGCAACTACAATTGCAGATGCGGTCATTCAAATAATAGGGTTGTTCTACCTCCAAGAAACATTTGCACCTGTTTTACTCGGACGTAAGAAGAATAAGCTCATCAAAGAGACTGGAAATCAAGATCTTCACACAGAATGGGATGTTCCAGACAGAACTATTTTCAAGGCTCTTTCTGTTAGTCTGACGCGACCTTTCAAACTACTTGGTATGCTTAATCATTTCATCACAATCCACTATTCTTTTTATCGTCACAATCTTCATACAAGCATGAGAGAAAAGCCTCAAGGCTCAGTAGTTGGATAAAGAACTATGCTGGAGAAGAAAGTATCTTCCTAGCACGGTCGTATTTACACATAAGGCAATGATCACGTAGTCGTAAATCTGGCATTGAGTAACTCTTTTGCCCGCGATCCTATAAATCCTGTCTTTACTGACTTGCCGATCATCTAGGAACGCAAATCATCATCCAGGTGTTAGCAGTATATATGGCTTACCTCTATGGTATCATGTATCTCGTACTCTCCACGTTTCCCGGATTATGGGAAGGCGTATATAACGAAAGTGTTGGGATGGGTGGGCTTAACTATATTTCTTTGGGAGTCGGTTTCTTCTTAGGTACGCAAATATGTGCACCAGCACAAGACAGGATTTATCGAGCGCTGAAAGCACGTAACAACGGAGTGGGAAAGCCCGAATTTCGAGTCCCTCTAATGATTCCTGGTGCTTTGCTTGTGCCAGTAGGGCTCTTTTGGTATGGATGGTCGGCTCAAGCTAAAACTCATTGGATTGTGCCGAATATTGGAGCGGCAATTTTTGCAGCAGGAACCATTATCGGATTCCAATGCATTCAAACTTATATAGTCGACTCCTATACCAAGTATGCTGCAAGTGCTGTCGGAGCAGCAACTGTTTTGAGAAGTTTGGCTGGTTTCGGTTTCCCATTGTTCGCCCCGTACTTGTATGCGGCGTTAGATTATGGGTGGGGTAATAGTTTGATCGGATTTGTCGCGATCGGGTTGGGGTGGCCAGCTCCTATTTTGCTGTGGATATATGGCGAGAGACTTCGCACGAGAAGTACATTTGCAGCTGGATAAGACAAATGCGGAAATGTACGACTGGTAGGATGGGGGCATGGGGTTATGATTGGCGGGTCGGATCCGAGCGTGATCGTATGAGTGGACGAAAATGACAAGCATAACCATATGGAGTTTCTGGGCGATTTTTAAGGTCAAACGGCAGTTTAAAAAATACCCTTTTGCGGATCAAATTGATGAGCATATATAGCAATAGTAATACGATGATTGTTGAATTGGAGAACGAAATGGCGTCTGTGTTCTTGAATGACCAGATAGAGTTATGAGCCTGACAAGTGTATACTTCGGTCATCATTGCTATGAGAAATGTCTTGCTATATTGTATGCGAATCCTTATTGCAATGATGTTATTCGGTTGAACATTCTTCCTACAAATCTTAAACGAGAATGAGTAGTAGACTATGCCACTACAAACTTTGATCTGATACTTCGTCGACTGAGCGGCATTCAGAAACTAGTGAAGATTGCGCAATTTTGTCGGTGTCCAAGAGGGCGTTGAAAATAAAACGTACTGCGGATTCTTTCCGTGTCAGCAGTAGACAAGGAGTTTAAGTAGACATGGAGTTTACTTCCGCCGGCTTCCGGATTACTTCCAAGTCACGGAACTTTGGGAGCTTCATGTCCAGTCGCAACGATATCGACACCAATGTCTAGAATTACCATCAACAATGAAACATTCGACGTCCTTAACTCCTAGCTTTCGGAGAACAGGCAATATGACAATGCGATACTACACTAACAACGCATCGCTTTGGGTGAGGAACCCCCCATCTTTCAATGTCCAAGATTTGCTTCGACAAGGGAATATGTGGTTGCCAAGAATCTCACTCAGAACTAATTCTTCCTTTGGAATCTCGAATGTCGACAGGTTCATACTAGTTGAGAAAGAGGACAGGATTGTATGATGAGTCAACGATGATGACATAGATCTCGGAATTCCGTCCACTGCCAGTCGAGAGTGTTTGTCCGGATATACATACTTATCACCATAAAGTTGATCTGGTTCGATGTAGTCGCGAAGGATCAGGATCCCGAATTCGTCATGACGGGTTTGGCTTAAGGTTAACGGTCAACCGTCTGGGCTAGCCGAAAACGACATATCCATACCTATGTTGATTGCGTGTAAGACATGGCAGTGAGAGGGATTATGAGATCCTATACGGTGAGAATGCGGCACAGCGGTTCTTTATAAACATAGATGCCAATCACGCCTCAACTGAGATCCATGGGACTCAGCTAGTGGAAATCTCGAGCGTATGGGATAATATGACGATATCGTCAGCTCTGCTCTAGCACCTAGGCATCTCTTGGTTTGGAGAGTCTCGAAGCTTACATAGCCACAAATGAAGCTTTAAGGGTTTTGCGCACTATTATTCATGGTGCATCTACCTGCAGTCGCCGATCTTTGAAGAAAATAAGACTCGTAAATGCAGGGCCAAAATGCTCACTGCACGCGTGGAAGCGTGCAAGGGCGTTGTGTGTCTGCAAGGTTGGGGCACGAGGAACCAAGGGACCAAGGCCGTCAGCACAAGTGAGAATGATTCCTCCACCAGTGCTGACAAGCAGTAGCGACAGTAATAATATGATAGATAGATAGCGCGGCCCTACAGGGCATAAGGAAAAGGAAGGATCTTGACGAGTTGGAGAGAATGATGGCCCCGCAATAGAGAAAAAACCCTCAGCGGCAAGCGGACACTACGTACATTAAATAGCATCGATTTTATCAATTCGGAGACACATACTTTATTATCGCCGAAATTAATAAGAGTTACATTGAAGCAACATGACATTGAATTGAAAGATTTATATAATGGAAATGTTGGATATATGTTGGGTTGGAGTGAGCAAAAGAAAGTAATCTACATGCGTTTAGACATTTTGTCTGTTGACCTTATTGATAATCTGTCTTGACCAATCAGATCTATGCATTAGAAATTTCCTCGAATCCAATTGATATCTCCACTCTTTACATCCCCCCTCCCCCAATCACAAGTCAACCACTCTTATCAATCTAGAAGATTGATGGCAGCAGCATTCCATTTCTTTGCTTTACTTGGGCATTGCGCTTCATGAGAGAACATACCTATCTGCCCATATGAGAATCATCTCCATATCTAGGAAGAATCATTACTTCAACCTCCAGGAAATCAACTCGAAGGAGGATTCTTCTTCTACTTGTACATTCTTGAACACGGCCAAAAGTTCCATGGAACGATTAGTTGCGATAAGGACCCGAGTATATTTGTGCCTATCGCTTTAACGTAGGAAGGACAGAGATAGGAAACCGCTCTGCTTACAGCTTCAAAAGGGTTAATGGTCTAGGGTAACATTCCCTCAGAATTGGCAGCTAGAAAGGATAGGTCCGCGCGTGTGTACTCCGTAAATACTTATCGGATCGGATAAGCCTTGTCTACCGGCTACCAGGGACCCGCAGCGCACCACCGTACATCGCATCAATACCCATCAACGGATTGATACGGATAACGTCGAGGGGATAAGCTGAGGATCCTGCCCCTCTCTCGCGCTGGATGGCTGACGTACGGGATGCGGGTCATGTTGATGGAGGATCGTCGTCCTCGTTGAATAATGTCAAGATCAAACCGGAGAGTAATGTGACGACTGATCGGGAAAGCTCGACGTCGAATAAAAGATCGAGGAGTAGCAGAGATGCCGCTGCGATTAAGAGAAGGTGTGTTTCAACAGCTTGTGTCGCATGTAGGAAGCGCAAATCCAAATGCGATGGAAACACACCAAGTTGCGCAGCTTGCTCAAGTGTATATGGGACTGGTATGTTCATCTCATATCTTCAATTGATCGGTGGCAATTGGCCTGCAAGACTAGCTGAGTACTTGGACTGACATTGTGAATTGACAGAATGTGTATACGATCCCTTATCAGACCATAGAAGGAAAGGCGTATATAAAGAAAAGATCGATAGTCTGAAGACTCGAAATTCTACTCTACAAACATTGATACAAGCGATATTGAATGCCGCCGAAGAAGATGTGCCAAATTTGGTCCGCCAAATCCGGACGTGTGAAAGTCTCGATGATGTAGCGGAAAACATTCTGAAACAAGACCAAGCCTTCGAAGACGATGATGATGATATGGACGATAACATAGCATTTACGTCATCTAGTTTGCCGACTTTCGAGACTCAATTATCGGGAAAGATGGGTGAATTGAGGTTAGAAAATGGTTCGGTAAGGTTCTTGGGAGGCACCTCGAATTTGATTTATGTCGATGCAGCGAGTGTTGAACATGGGGACGCTTTGGAAACGACTCAACAAGAGGAACCTCTCCTGTCATGGACTACAGTCACAAGTGATACAGAGGTCATCGTTCATTTGATTAATATGTATTTTACATGGCACTATCCATATTTTACGACATTGAGTAAAACGCTGTGGGTTTTTCTTTTTCCATACTCCCCGATTCGAAGCTGACCCATTTCACTTTCCCATCGTCTTGTTTTGCTTCAAGAACTACTGACTGATTGATATTACTAGGTTTTACAAGGACTTTCTTTTGGTATGTTTACTTGCCAGACACTGGCTCATTGTGTTCCACATTCAAAACAGCCAGGATTAACGGAATCCAGGGAAAACCTCCAGTGACTCCAAAAAGAACAATGTACTGTTCATCATTATTAGTTAGTGAAGACTCAGCTTTCAATGTGATTATCTCCTAACGACTCTCAGGTCAATGCTATGCTGGCTCTGGGGTGTCATTTTACAAACTCTCCCCAAGCCTGTGCAGATCCAGGTGATACCGCTACTAAAGGTGATCATTATTTCGCGGAAGCGAAAAGACTATTTATTGAGAATGAAGAGTTCGAAAAACCGAGATTGACTACCATACAAGCTCTCTGGTGAGTATTTATCCTTATGTTCAAATATGTATATCTAACATGATGGCAGCTTGATGTCAGTTCGTGAGGCAGGTGCAGGCCGAGAAGGAAAAGGGTGGGTCTACTCTGGAATGGCATTCCGAATGGCTCAAGATATGGGTCTTAACCTGGATTCCGGAATCAATAAAAACAGTCCAAAGGAATTTCCCGTTGATGAAGACGAAATCGATGTTAGAAGAGTCACATTTTGGGGCTGGTATGTTGAACTGATTCAATATATTCTTTTTCATCATTGTTTAATTTGTTCCCTGACCACAAGTCCGATTTTTCTGGTCCTTCAACTCCTAGCTTTTACTTCTAATGCAATATTAATTCCTCATTTTCTTGAAATTCGTTCTTTGATAACCAATTACTGATTCTCCTCGATAGCTTTCTCTTTGACAAATGTTTCTCGAATTATCTAGGAAGACTTCCTCTGTTATCGGTGACTGACATCACCGTCCCAAAATATGATGTTAAAAAATTCGATGACGATGAAATCTGGTCACCTTACACAGATAATGGAATTGGTCAATTAAACTCCCAGCCATCAAGGACAAGAGCTGTAGCTTTACAGATTTCGAGTCTGTGTGAGATTAGTAGTGATCTTCTCACATTTTTTTACCATCCACAAAATGTTGAAAGGGGTGTTGGAAGATCACAGGAGTTAAAAAAGCTTAGCGAACTACAAACAAGACTCGAGGCTTGGAAGAGAGATTTACCCAAGGAATTTGAACCAAAGGAAGGACAATTACCTAACGTCCTTCTTATGCAGTATGCACTACTATATTTAAACTTCAACTCATTACTAATTTTGTATAGCATGTTTTTCCATCTTTTATACATCCATCTATTTCGGCCGTTCCTCAAATACAATCCAAGTACATCGCCTTTACCGACACATGTATCTCCCCGAAAACTTTGCACACAAGCTGCTGGCTCGATATCCAAGTTAATGCGTCTTTACAAGCGTATATATGGACTTCGACAAATTTGCAACATAGCAGTTTATATTGTTCACTCTGCTTGTACAATTCACCTCCTAAATCTCCCAGAAAAGACAGCGAAGAGAGACATAATTCACGGAGTCAAACATCTTGAGGAAATTGCCGATGATTGGCTTTGTGCACGCCGTACTCTTTCAATCCTCTCTGTTCTGGCTCGAAAATGGAGTATCGATCTTCCTACGGAAGCATCAGCTGTATTCTCTCGTACTGATAGCAGGTTTGGGTATTTCTCAACAGCTGATGTTCCATCGCCGAAAGCAGAGATAATAGCGACTACACCATCATCATCATCGTCACCTACTCATTTCCAGACTACTGTGCATTCTCAACCGCTCCTTGCAAGAAGTCAAACCCAGTTACAACAGAGTTTGTATAGCTATCCTCTCGATTCAGAAGTTCCACTTACGCAGAGTTTGATAAGCGATTTATCAGCGCAGTCTTCGCTGCCCAGACTCCAAAATGTTGTCTCGCCACCATCCGATCATACAGATTCCATCTCATATTCTACGACAACAAATCCCCTTCATATGTCACCTGTCTCTGCATATCCCCTCTCTCGTACAATCTATACCAACCCGACTCAACCTTTCGCTCCTAGTATCACGAATGCTACTTCTACGGCTAATAATAGCCCATTGACTAGTGGGAATAGAAGTGCAAATAGAAATGTTAGCCCTAGTACACTGTTCGGTGGGGTGGAGCAGCTAGTTCAAAGTCAGGATTGGTGGTTGCGGGATCAAGCGAGTTTAGTAGTTGGGTTTGAGAATTGGATGGGTGGAGGTGTTGGTATCGGTACAGGGCATAGTCATAGCTTGAGTGGTGATCTAGGCACTGGGACTGGCAACCCGTTTTATGATAATGGCAACCCCAATTCTGGGAACGGCGGTGGTAATACAGGTGCAGGGGGTGGCGGGGGCGCTAATAGAGGATTTAGGGATGACGACTGGTTCTCATAATTGCTATGGGTGTTTTGATATAATACGATATGATGTAATACGATGCTACTAGGATGGAGTTGAGAAGGGATTCTGTCGGGCTTTGACAGGGTGGTTAGGGTTATGATGATCAATGGTCATGATCGGGGCGGAAACAGGAGCCTGGCATGAATTCAGCTTAGGAGTTTTGTGGGATACCTGTGTTCTTGTCACAGTGGAATATTTTGATTTTTGATAAGATGAGGATTGTATGTACCAATGATTCATTATATATAGATGTGTATTTGGGATGATATGGTATGGTATGGAAAAAGATGGAGCATATTAGTACGGATAAGGTAAATAATTTGGAGTAGAAAAAACATTCGTATTCGATGGTTGGTTGGTTCGTTCTTTGAGACTAAAATGGGGTTGGAAGGAATGGATGGTAAGTTTTTGGATATGGTAAAAAGAGTGAAGGTTGGCTGGAAGATGAACCGACTCCCTTTTCTCCTATTTCAAGGATACTACTAGTATGTTGATATTGAAAAATGATTGTTTCGAGTGAATGGAATATAGATTGCGCTCTTACAATACCTACCTACCTTATTAGAAACTCCCAAAAATCATATCATATTCATCTCTTCATAAAACAAAAAAACATTTTGTAATTTTTAACTCTTGATTGTGTGTGTATGATTTAGAAAGATTAAATAAGTGACCAAACAGTAACTCAAATAACCTCTTCTACATCTTTCTCTTTTTCTTTCTTATCCTCATCCTCATCATCTCTTCCATTTTAATTCCAATTCCAATTCCAATTCTGATTTTCATATCCTATCTTATCTCTGTTCACATCTAATCATTCATATGCTCATACAATCCCTTCCCTTCCCTTCCCTTCCCTTTCCATCCATCCCTTCCTTTCCTTTCATCGTCCAACTCGATATGCAAAAGGGTATTTTATTATAAACCAAGTCCATCGATCGCTGTGCACCACGCAATGCAAAGTAAAGTAAAAAAAAAAGATTCTCCCTCTCCCATATATGCTCGCTCATAAAGGTATCGTATCATGCGTGTATTGTACGTCGCGCTTCGTTTCCTTGCGTTACATTGCTCGGTTTCTTCATCCTCTGATTCCTCGGCTTCTTTACCCGTGTGTTCTTTTGTTCGTTTCCGTGATTGCTTCTCCTTTCTATCTAATAGAATGAGTGCCTCCTTTTCTTCTTCTTTTTCGTTTCCAGTCCAATCCCTCCTAGCCGTTGTCTTGTCCCTTCCCTTTCCCTTTCTCCTGGCGCGGTCCCTCTTTCTCACCCCCAAACCTAACAAGCACCCCCTCAATGACTGGCACCAACTCCGTAATCCTAAAGGGTTTCGTCATAACCTCATCCATACCAGCCTCCAGCGCTTGTTGAATTTGTTCTGCTCTCGCGTTGGCAGTCACTGCCACAACTGGCACATGTCCTATCAGTTCTCTATTCTTTTCCATTTTGCGTATCTCCCTGGCGCATGTGAGACCGTCCATCACGGGCATTTCAATGTCGAGAAGAATGAGGGTGAGAGGAATGGGAGATTTTTGTGGTCGTGATTGCTGATGCAGTTGTGAAGGGTCCTGGGTTTGGTTTGGAATGCTGGTGTTCTGTGGGCTGGGTATTAGCATGAATCTTATGGGGAAATATGGCAAGAGAAGGAACGTGAAAAGGGACCATCTTACCTTTTTTGATACAACCACATTTGAATGATCCACTCTCTCGCTCATCCAATTCGTCTGACTTATAAACTCGATAGCTTCCTTTCCATGATTTGCTACGTGAACTGTACATCCCAACCGCTTCATTTGTGCCGCCAAGACCTTCTGATTAACTAAATTATCCTCCACGATCAATACACTCCACGAACTAGGCCTGAGAAAATCCGGAGTCTTGTTCGTTTTCGCCTTCTGGCTTTCTTCCTCCTCAAACCCAAATGAGTTGCGATTAGTAGGTAATCTTCCCTTCTCCTTCAAATCCAGGAGCTTATTCAACATGTTCTCTTCATGGTCCTTGATGCTTTTCGGAACATTCGTCGCAAGTCGCCCATTAGCTTCCAGATCCGAATTCATCTGCGATTCAACATCCAGAGTTTTTGCCCTTATCAATGCACGACGGCATTTAATGTAGAAAGCGAAAGTACTCCCAACCCCAAACTCTGATGCCACGCCGATTTCTCCACCTTGCAATTCGGTAAGTTGACGTGAGATAAACAGTCCAAGCCCAGATCCTCCATAATGCACATGAGTTCGAGGCGATGCTTGAGAGAAACGTGTGAACAAGTTCTTCTTCTCGGCAGGTGTTAACCCACAACCAGTATCTTTTATTTCGAATCGAAGATATATGATTTGACCTCTACCCCATTCCTTGCTATCGGTAATATTTGCTTTCGAAAACCTGGTAGGAGATGGGAAGTATTCGAAATTGGCCAATGACTCTAATAAAGGTGGTTCCAGGGAGGCACTTATGGAAACATGGATTTCTCGTGTCTTCTCGTCCTTGGTGAATTTGATAGCATTTGTCATGAGATTAATCAATACTTGAGTCAACCTACTTGAATCGAGCATGACACTGTCAACTTTCAACTCTTGAAATGACTTTTTGATGTCTAAATTGAGAGATATGGTATTCATTTGACATTCTCCGGCAAACATCCTGAGTCCTAGCTTTACCACCTCTACAGGTTTAGTAGAGACAGGTGTAATTGTAAGCAGATTTGAATCTAATTTGGAAATCATCAAAACATCATCAACAATTGATTTTTGGTGTTGAGCACAAAGTTGAATGGTTTCGGCGGCATCTATACCATCTTTCAAGATAGTCGCGAGTTGGCAATCGCGCTCCTCCAGATCCTTGTTTGCTGCTCTGTATTGTTTCAAAGATGATGAGATACCATCTGCACATTGAACGATAGCGCTGAGTGGATTGCGCATTTCGTGACTTGTTATGTCGATAAATGAATTTTGCTGGCGTCTTGTTTCTTCGTAATCTTTCAGTCGTCTGTCTTGAATCTCTTCAGCCCATTTGATTCTGGAGATATCTGTTGAGCCTATGTTGTGTCAGTAAAGATCAGTTATAAAGTCATAGATTTGGTTTTCGCTAGGGGAGAAAAGAGTCCTATCAAACTTACAGCCCATCACACTTTTCAACTTTCCGTTCTCATCATTCTCTCCAGAGAATGTACCCAATACCCAGCGCTGAATAGTCAATGTACTCCCGGCTATGTCCCCTATCCATGGTTGTTCCATACGTGTTTCTATTACAAATGGAGTAGCTTTCTCTACCAGCGCGAACCATTGCGATCTAAACTTCGGTCGGTCCAACTCATATATTGCATTCATCCATGAGAAGGGAATTTCTGCCAAGGTTTCGCTTTTTGCGAGACCAGAAATGTGAAACCATTGCTCATTCGCGTAGGTCAGTCTCCCTTCTGGATCGAGAATAGCTAGGCCACCAGGAGCAAGGTCACTGAATCTTCTGAAGTTTCGTTCGATTTCGTTGGCCTGGTTTGTGCGAAGTAAAAGTTGTTCAGAGAGCTCTGCACGATCTTCCATTTCTTTAGCGAATCTTTTTTGGAGCGTGATATCGGTGCAATATCCCATGATGCTCTTGATACTTCCATCCAAAGAAAATTCGTGCTGGTAACTCGCCAGAATCCAATTCTCATACTCATCGCCAGTGATAGGATCATACCATGGCTTGACGAGTTGAAGCTCACCAGACCACGGCTGATTACGAGTGGTGAGTTTCTCCCAACCCTTCATCATAGTCGGAATGCTAGATGGAGCAATCGTATCCATCCAAGACATTCTAGAAGCCGTATCGCGAGGCAGGTCCGTAATCTCGTAATAACGATCGTTGGCTTCGAGCAATGTACCATCGCTATCAACTGAAAATAAAGCGACAGGTGAAACTTCGGCGATACGTTGCAATCTTCCTTTCTGAAAAGCTAACTCTTCAGAGAGTTTCATACGCTCAGCAGCAGCGATTTCTGCAGCATCGGTACCACGTCGGATTTCGTCCTGGAAAAGTGTGACCGAGGCTAGAGAATTTGCCAATTGTCTGTTCAAGATTTTGACGAAAGACTCGTAATCGGCATCAAACGGTCTCCTGGGGTTCACACCAATAACTAAAAAGCCCAAAGTGTTTTCAGCATTAGTTGGTCTCAACGGCAATACCACAGCCTCTCGTGGCGGCTCGCCAAACCCTCTCCAGTTATATCCTCGTGTCAAGCCGACTGGAAGCATACTATCTGAAAGTGACAACAAAGTTGGTTGGCGTGTTTTCATGGCCTCTCTCAAGGCTGGCACATATCCTCCCAGATGTCTTTTTAGATCGAGTCTGCTTTGAGCGCTTACATGTCCTTCCGGAACACCTAACGAGCCTTCTAAAATAACAGACTTGATACTCGTAGAACTATCAGAAGAAATCGACCCTCTCGACGATGTTGCATCATTCTCAATATCATCGAGGACCGAGTAAAGCAAAACAAATGGGAAGTCATATTCGTTCTCGGCAAGACCGCCAAGCATCAATTTCCAAAAATCCGACACAGATTGAGCAAGAGCTGTTTCTTCGCCGACTTTCAAGAGTGTTCTCATCCTTCGATTGCTCACTACCTTTTGGGTCGTCTCAAAGGGTGCGTTGTAAACGCCCAGGAGCTCAGGGCTAGGGCCGGCTTTCCAGATGGGCGTCAAGCTCCAGGAGTAAAAAGTTTCCTCGACAAATCCTTGACGCTCTAGGGGTAACATTTGATCTGTCATGGCGATTCCTCTCCCTGTCCGTCTACATTCATTGAAAATCTCGCCAACCTCCTCCCAAATCTCTGCGAAAGGACCTCGAGCGCCTGTCCCCATCAAACGTGGATGCTTCTGACCAGCTACAGTCTCCGCGTAAGTTTGATTGTACAATACGGTCAACTCTTCACCCCAGAAAATAGCAGCAGGATGGGGGTTGGCAATCACCATGTTCACGATCTGGCGGAATTCGGGTGACCAGCTGTTCATGGGACCCAAAGGTGTCGAAGACCAGTCCACACCTCGAGTGAAGACGATGTGGTCAGAGAGATAACCTTCGGGACGCTCGATTGTCCAGTCTGCAACTGGAGACTCGGTGGCCCAATCTGAGGATGGTCCCCCGACCATCTCACTCATAATGACATCTTCATTTTGATTTTGTGCGCCACTTGCCGGGCTGTTTAAATTTGACACTTGGACATCTTTTAAGGCTGCAATTGTCTTGTCGGAGAAGGTTGTGCTCAAAGTTCCCTTTTGGCTGTGAGGGTAATTACTAAATATAAGATCTCTCAACTCAACATCAATTTTGTTACCACAAATTAAAACCCATCTCTTCCGGATTGTGAATCCAGACCAGAGAAACCCATTGTATGAGAATGATTGGCCTGGGTAATCTTCACTGGTTTGTTTCTGGACGAAGTCCTTGATTAGAGATCTGAAGGTTGTAGAGGCAGGTCCCCCAGAATGAAGTGTTGGAGAAGTCTGTCCTTCAGAGTTTGTAGATATGGTACTCGTGAGAAGAATATTGGACTGGAAAGCTT